GAGCAATCTGCCTGCCTTGGCCTCCCAGAGTGCTAGGATTACAGGCGTGAGCCACCACGCCCGGCCTCTCCCAGATTTTTTTTTTTTTTTTTTTTTTGAGACAGAGTCTCGCTTTGTTGCCCAGGCTAGAGTGAGTGCCGTGGTGTCAGCCTAGCTCACAGCAACCTCAAACTCCTGGGCTCGAGCAATCCTCCTGCCTCAGCCTCCCAAGTAGCTGGGACTACAGGCATGCGCCACCATGCCCGGCTAATTTTTTTTTTTTTTATATATATATCAGTTGGCCAATTAATTTCTTTCTATTTATAGTAGAGACGGGGTCTCGCTCTTGCTCAGGCTGGTTTTGAACTCCTGACCTTGAGCAATCCGCCCGCCTCGGCCTCCCAGAGAGCTAGGATTATAGGCATGAGCCACCGCGCCCGGCCCCTCTCCCAGATTTTTAAAGTTAATTTTGCTGGCCTTGTCAGTTGGAATCATTTACTTATTGTTATTTTATTTTTTTCATTTTCTATTCAGTAATATGAGTAATTATAATTATGCATCTTATGTTTTTCAGTTTCAGTCATACTAGATATGTTTTGATACTTAGTATTTCATTATTTTTATTTCTAGTTTTAATTTTCAGTTTTGAGTTTTACTTTGATATTTTTATTGGAGTATTTAAAAATATTCAAATGATTGTGTTTCTTTGGTTTCTGTTTATTCCACGTATATCTGGTACATATTTGTTATTTTATCACATTATAAGACAGAATTTGATTTGTTGCACTTCTACTTTTTGGAATTCTATGAGGTTTTTTTATTTTATCAGTTTTTATAAATGTTTCATAAAAAAATTTTTTTTTGAGACAGAGTCTCACTCTCCTGACTGAGCTAGAGTGCCGTGGCATCAGCCTAGCTCACAACAACCTCAAACTCCTGGGCTCAAGCAATCCTTCTGCCTCAGCCTCCCAAGTAGCTGGGTCTACAGGCATGTGCCACCATGTCTGTATAATTTTTTAATATGTATGTTTTGAGTTGTCCAGCTAATTTCTTTCTATTTTTTTTTTTAGTAGAGATGGGGTCTCACTCTTGCTCAGGCTGGTCTGGAACTCCTGAGCTCAAATGATCCTCCCTCCCTGGCCTCCCAGAGTGCTAGGATTACAGGCATGAGCCACCATACCCAGCCTGTTCCATGGAAATTTCTTTGCAGGTTATATAGTTAGATATGTTGTTATTAGAACATTATCATTAGTTATGTTATCCTGTTTTTCCTTGCCATTACTTTTGTTTTGTCTATTTAATGTGTTAGGAACTATAAAAGATAAGTAAAAGTCCTTCAAAGTTTTTGTTAATTTGTTCATTTCCCTTGTTATTTTCTGAAGTGTTTCATGCTATGCTATGTGATTTGAGCAGTTAAAGTTCACAGTTGCTATATCTTCTTTGTGGCTTGTAGACATCATTGTGGACTGTAGACTTCAAAATTTTAAAGTGATGTTCATTCAGCAAGCAAATATTTGCTGAACACTTACTACATGCTTGGCCACTGTGCTAGATTCTTTGTCTGTTTTTTTCATTTGCATTCAATTTTGACTGACAAGTATACCTTTACAACTATATCTTTCTGTTTGTATGCATTTTCTAGTTTAGATCTTAACACAATTTTTAAAAACTCTCAACCTTCATGAGTCACTTTGTTTGAAATCTTTATTATATATATATATATATGTACAAATCTTAGAGTACTTATTATTTCTATAATATAATTGTTTATTGGATTTTTTTGTGATATTAGTTTGCAAAGGTTTTAATAGTAAAAAAGCAGAGGACATAATATACCCAGGGTAATATTGAAAAATTCAGCATGAATTATTACTTTGCATGACTTAGTCCCTGATGTATTATTGCCCCTTTTGTCACCTGCCTCAGAGGGAGAATCCTCAGGCCTGCCAAGAGATAGTGTACCCACGAAAGTGATGCCGAGAAATTCTGTATAAATCCAATCTCTCAATAACAAGCACTCAGGTGTATGCTAGAATTGTCACCAGTTTCTTATACCTCTTGGAGAGATCAATGTCTAGCCAGGATCTCCTCAAATTTCTGGAGGCCACAAGAGCATAAAAACCCTTGAGAGAATGTTAAGAAGAGCTTTCCTAAGGTCTATATGGGATCTTTTCATTGGAAAGGCAGTGTAGTAAGCAGTGGGGCAACATTGTGGGCATTAAAGTTCAATTTCTTTCCAATGGCGAGAACACTGCTGAGCCTCTAGAACTGTAGGAATGTCTTCATGCAGTTATGATCCCATGTTCTTTACTTAAAAGGAATTTGACTGAGACTCTTGATATCTTTCTCTCAATCACTGTCATCCTGATCCTGTGACATCTGTGTGCTGATTATAAGCAACTTACTCTTAGTGTTCAGTTCTTTGCATTCCCCTTCACCACTAGAAGCTTGACCTTGGGAGTTTAGCTGGGGCCCTACTGTAAGTCAAAGAAAGCAAAGCAGGCCTTGTGTGGAGGATGATAATGTGCTTAGAGTTTTCTGGAGTACCAACTGAGAGAAGAGTCCATTTGTGAGATGTCAATGGCCAGATGAGGATGAAAGCCTTTATAAATCACAATTAGAACAAAGGTTTGTGAGAGGTTTGTGATAGCTTTAGAAAAGTACAAGTCAATATTAAATAAATTCAATAATTTGTACTTAGTGTTTGCCCCTTTTCAGATAACTACAGTGAATTAGACAATTGTTAAATATAGCTTAAAGAAAGCTGTAAGCTTAAAGAAAGCCTGTAATCCTAGCACTCTGGGAGACCGAGGTGGGAGGATCACTCAAGATCAGGAGTTCAAAACCAGCCTGAGCAAGAGTGAGACTCCCATCTCTACTAAAAATAGAAAGAAATTATCTGGACAACTAAAATATATATATATATATATATAATTAGCAGGGCATGGTGGAGCATGCCTGTAGTATTCCCAGCTACTCAGGAGGCTGAGGCAGAAGGATTACTTGAGCCTAGGAGTTTGAAGTTGCTGAGCTAGGCTGATGCTACGGCACTCTAGCCTGACAACAGAGCAAGACTCTGTCTCAAAAAAAAAAAAAGAAAGAAAGAAAGAAAGCAAAGCAGAAGCACAGTGAGAAAAAAATCTGTGTTTTATAGGTAAAAATGGATTATTATATGAATGATGTAATGGCCTTATAACCAGCAAACCACTTACCCTTAAAGAGGGTCAGTGACCAGCTGTTTAACAGCTGAAAGATGAGAGACAAAGGTGATTTCAGGATTTACTTGTGATGTGAGCAAAACAAAATTACTTGTCTAGGGTACAGAGCCTACCTTCTACAATGAAAAGACACACTGGTGAGGTCAGCTAATTTGGATAAATTATAAATCGCCTGTAGAGTGGATGAAGACCATGTGAGAAATGAGGTTTCTAGAACCACACAACCTCCCTGCACCCTCTCACACTGGAGATCTGGCCCCCCAGGCTGCACGTATAGCAAAGTTCTTAGAAATTTTTTTTTAAAATATGCATGTCTATTTTATTTCCATTAGAAAAATATTAATTATATAAAATGTTGGTCCACTTCCTTCTCCTAGACCTCTACCATTCATATTTAAATACTTTAATTTTACTCAACTAAAAGAATCATAGATCTGAGATGAGAACTAAATATTTCACATCATTAGTTCGATTAGGTGTGCTTTTGATTATTTCTCAGAAACAATAACTCATCTTGCCTACCCTTTATTTGAGTAACTATGTAATAAGTATCTCTTTCCTATATTCAGTCATATGGGTATACATTAAGTGTAATTTACACACCAGCAACTGGATGCATTATCTAATCTTCATTCATGTTCAACTACCCCTATTATATCCTATTTCCATGATAATTTCAGATATTTTAGTCAAGTTTATGCTTCTAAATAAAAATTAAGAGGGTATTATATCAACTATAAAAATTCCAGACTAAACACTGGGCCCACTTACAGCAATGGTGTTGTGAAAGGTCCTCGGACAGCTACTGCTTCATTTCAATTCTGCCTCCTTTGCCGCTCTGCAAAGCGGCAACCTGGTAAGCAGCTCTTGCAGGATAATTACTCTTGAAATACTGTTTGTAGATGTCATTGACAGTATTGAAGTCATTTATGTCAGCCAGCAAAACAGTTGTTTTTACCACATTAGTGAAGTCACAGCCTGCAGCTTTCAGAATTTCACCCATGTTTTTAAGAGCTTGTTTAGCTGTTTCTTTTACCCCTCCTGGCACAAGCTGTCCACTTGATGGGTCCATGCCTATCTGTCCTGAAATGTCAACGGTCCTGTCGACTAATACAGCTCGACTGTAGGGGCCAATGGCCCCTGGGGCTTTGGCGGTGCTGATCTCGCTTTGGATCAAGGACGACATGGCTAATCCTCCCCTCTTTCAGCCCCTCGGGGAGAACAAGCCACGACTGCAAACCTGCTGGAGTCTCAGCTGACTCGGTTCTTAGAAATTTTATCTGAGTTAAAGTTCTTCCTCAGTATGTTGATTCTCTCTCTGCAATTTGTTTTAGCTCTTTATGCCTGTCTTCCATGGCCACTCAGTTGGAATTCTTTCTTTCTCCCTATGAACTCTTATCCATGACTTTTCTCTCTCACAGATGACGCTGCATTCTTATTAAAGGCATGGCTTTTAGTGTATTTCCCAAAGTAAATAAAAAATAATCATGGATTTATGACACTAATGATTTTACTAAATGCAAAGCGTAAGGCAAATATTTTAGAATGAGAAAAATGAATTAATATGTTTATAACAAAACTTTCTAGATTAAGGTGATAATTTAATAATTTGCTTTATCTCCAAGAGGGATTAAAGTGAATTATCCTCTCTATCATAACTTGGTGCCATTCTGTCATGCACTTCTAATTTAGCTTGTAGTATCAGACATTGCAGGAAGTCAGAAATACTCCTTATTACTGTAAACTTATCCAATGTCTTGTATGCAGCTTTATCCCAATTTTCCACAATCTTATGTTTTTAATTTAATATCTGATATGTTGCAAATATTTTTCCAAAGTCCTTTTCAGAGCTACCTTCACTTCCTTGTTTTTCAGGCTGTATATGAGTGGATTCAGCATGGGAGTGACTACAGTATACTGCACAGAGAAGATCAACTCTATGGGGGAGCCTGAGTTTGGGAGGAGATGGCGGAGCAAACCTGAGCCATAGTAAAGTATCACTGCAGTGAGGTGGGAGGAACAGGTGGAGAAGGCCTTGCTTCTGCTTGAGGTAGAGCTGATGCTCAAGATGGTAGAGATAATGCGGGTATAGGATAAGAAGACCAAAAGGAAAGTTCCCAGCCCATGCAGGAGAGTAGAGCAGAGCAAGGCAATGAGGTTCTAGAGATATCAGAGCACGACAGATGGAGGAGAGATGGCATCTCACAGCTGTAGTGGTGGATGATTTGGGCCTCACAGAAGACCAAGTTCGCAGCTAAGAGGATGTTGATGAGTGCGTCCAGAAAGCCTAGTCCCCATGAACCCCACACAAAGTGCATATACAGCTGTTTACTCATGATCTGTCCATAAAGCAATGGGTGGCAGATGGCAGCGTAGCGGTCATAGGCCATCACAGAGAGAAGGCAGGCTTCTGTCCCTGCAGTGACAAACACAAAGAAGACCTGAGCTAGGCAGCCCTGTACTGAAATGGTTTTCCTCTGGGAAAGGAGGTTCTCCAGCATCTTGGGGACAGTGACTGAAGAGAAGCAGAGGTCGACAAAAGAGAGGTGACTCAGGAAGAAGTACATGGGTGTGTGAAGATGAGAATCAACCCTGATTACCAGCAGTAGCATCAGGTTCCCCACTATGGTCAGGAGGTAAATCCCCAGAAACAGCACAAAGAGCAGAGCCTGGACGTGGGGGTCAGCAGACAGCCCGAGGAGGAGGAACTCAGTGATGGTGCTGTGGTTCCCCAAAGCCATTTACAAAGGCTGTTTCCTAGAAATCATATAAAACTCGTGACAGCCAAGGTTCTACTATTCCCCAAGCAATTTTCTCAATGTATTTATTGTCTTATTATATCACTATTACTCAATAACCATTTTTGGCTCCTACTATGGCCTAGGTTTTGTGTCAGTCATATGAAACATAAAAATGATTGAGATGTGCTCTTTGCTCTTTGAATGGTCCATAGAAAAAATGGATATAAAAATAAGAAATTATAACAGTGTAATTAATATAAAGGGATCTCAAATTTTAATTTACATAGGGGTCAGAAATGATATTACATTAGGGAAATTTGAACAAATATTTTTAGAAAGCATATCACTGCCCTAGGAAAAATGAGTGTCAATGGGACAATTAGCTGTCATGCATAATATGCTCAAAATATGCTTCTCAGAACTTAGAGAAGTCAAGGGATGTTTGGTAAAATATGGATGGTTCTGAAAAGCTAATGCTTACAGTATAATTGAGCAACATAGACCAATGGCTAACATGGACTTCTGCATCAGACTAGGTTCATATATTCCAGCTGTACCACTGATTACCTATATGACTGAAACAAAATACGTAAGACTCTGTACCTCAATTTCCTAGTATATAAAATGCAGATAATAGTACCATGTAGAGTTTTAAGGATTAATTATAAGATTATATATAAAGTGCTTCAAAACCACTTACTCCTAACTATTCATTAAATATTTATTATTATAATTATTTCTTGAGATTGTAAGTCTAAGCAAAACTCAGATAAATTCTTCTATAGAGTGAAGCACTGTCAAAGAGCAAAGTTGTTGCTGCTAATGCTGTTGTTATTATTACTTTATGTGCCTTTATTAAGAAAGGTGTAAGAAAATCACATTGAAATCTCTACCAGTAGAAACCCATTCCTGCTCATGACTTCAGCTGAAAGAAAAATTGGGAATTATTTTGGAGTGCAGACTGTCTCTTAAAAGGGTAAATCACTTTGCAATTATTGTGGGTGCCATTACTCAGAAAGGAGGGCATGTAATTCCTATTAATAGGTATTGCTACCAGACTTCAGAAATGACAAGTGGGAAAGAAATTGGTTGGGACTCATGTAGCCAACTAGGGGGATCTTCAATAGCATTACTAGGATGTATGTGTATCCCAGAAAAGGCTGGAATCTCTGGATGAGTAACCAAGAGGAAGACTTGAAAGGATTTCATGACACAAAAATACTTGAATGAGTATATAGACTATAGCAGTAGCCAGGACAGAAGACTCTGCTCAGTACTACGTATTTTGGACCACTCTCTCAGATAATATAGGAAAGAAGTTCAGGAATTCATCCTGTGAAGTTCGACTCTGAGAACCTAGCTTCTATTAAAAACATCTGCTGCTAGTAATCCCTACACTGCAGGAAGAAGTTCCCTTGCACTAACTTTTATTTGATCATAACTCACAGCAGGCTGTTTAAAAACAAGAATAGGACATTCATTCCTTTATATTTCTCTCTTGTACAGATAGTTAAATTAACTTTCTGGCTTTCATCCTGAGACACTGTCCTCAGTCTTCATATCCCAAATTTCTTCCTTATGGCCAGAATGTGTTCATGTCTCTGAAGTATGTATCTCATGAGTCTTCGGGTCTGGATTACAGCAATGCTCTATTTGCTTGAACACTGAATGTTTACACACAATGTCCAGCTTTAGCCTGAACCCTAAGTCTGACCTTGGGCCATTCACAAAACTCATTATGATGGGTCAGCCAGTTTCCTGGTCCTGGCCATTTCCAGCAAGTTCAAAGCCTAGTCAAGAGGAACATCAGAATCTTTACTATAATAATTAAGTCTTTAGCCAGAAATTCAGTCTCAAAGTCCTTCTTATGCCCAAATACAGCTTACCTGTACATCTGGTCCAGTAAAGCAATCTTCTCTCCAACCTGGCTGCAGGACTTTTATTTAGATGCATCTACTAAAAAGGAAGATGAACTGGAGAAGGTTGCTTTCTAAATCTTGTATCACGATTGAGTTTATAAAATCCTACTGATGATAAAATGTTTTACTGAATGTTGCACTATAAAGTTAGACAGCCATAGGGCGGGATCTAAAATATTCTTTAGTTTTCCCTGTTTCTAATACCATGTCTCAGCTACACATTCGGGTGATTCTCTGCCCTTGTCCCAGAAGATGGTTGGGACAACAGCTTTTATGTTCTACAGTCACAACATGAAGTCAGATTTAGTAGGAAAGAACTTTTAATAACATAGACTGTTATTAAGGACCACTGGAGATCTCCTAGGTGTAGTTTTTAGAATGTGTGGGTTGATGCAATAGCCTATAATCATGAAATCTAAATCTTTGGAATCTATTGGGACTTGAAAGAGAGAAAGTGGCCAAAGGGGCATTTGACTAGTTCCCCAAGCAGGAAAGGAATAGTTTTCCGTTGACACTCTAAGGATGGGTCTTCTTTCTGGGACTTCTCAGCTAAAATCATCTCCAGGCAAATTTATTGTAAAAAATGATTTGTTGATAAAATAATTAAAATAAGGAAAAGTTCATAAGCACAGTCATTTGTGTCAACTGTCTATTCAAATCTATTTTTTTTTGATGGATACATTTTGATGGCTACACAGGGACCTGTTATAGTTGGATTAGTCACAGATTGGGAGTATTTAAGGATGCATAGATTTAGCAGTTTATTAGAGTCTCAAGTAGTAATAAACTGCAATATAAATGAAAATTTGTATTTATTTATTTACAATGAGGTATAAGGTTTTCATTCACACTAGACTATTTTGACATAAGAGTTATTTCTTATGTTATTTCTACTGTCCCTTGCCATTTTATTAACTAAGCAAAATAAATACAACTTAAGGAAATTTAGAATAATCAATTCACATTTCCAAAACATTTGATTTATTTGTTAATACATATAGAATTTAAAGTTTCTTACTTTTATTTTTTGATTAGAACATTTATTCATAGATATATCTAAGAATATATACATATATCCCAAAACAATAAATGTTGGCGTGGATGCAGAGAGATAGGAACACTCCTACACTGCTGGTGGGACTGCAAACTAGTTCAACCTCTGTGGAAAACAATATGGAGATACCTTAAAGCAATACAAGTAGATCTACCATTTGATCCAGCAATCCCATTACTGGGCATCTACCCAAAAGAACAAAGGACAATCTACAATAAAGACACCTGCACTTGAATGTTTATAGCAGCACAACTCACAATTGCAAAGCTGTGGAAACAACCCAGGCGCCCATCAATACATGAGTGGATTAATAAAATGTGGTATATGTATACCATGGAGTACTATTCAGCTCTAAGAAACAATGGTGACATAGCACATCTTGTATTTTCTTGGATAGAGCTGGAACCCATACTACTAAGTGAAGTATCCCAAGAACGGAAAAATAAGCACCTCATATACTCACCAGCAAATTGGTATTAACTGATCAGCACCTAAGTGGACACATAGGAATTACATTTATCGGGTATTGGGCAGGTGGGAGGGGGGAGGAGGGGCTGGGTATATACAAACATAATGAGTGAGATGTGCACCGTCTGGGGGATGGTCACGCTTGAAGCTCTGACTTGAGGGGCGAGGGGGGCAAGGGCATTATATGTAACTTTAAAATTTGTACCCCCATAATATGTTGAAATAAAAAAAATTTTCTTTCAGCATATTATGGGGGTACCAATGTTTAGGTTACATATATTGCCTTTGCCCCACCTGAGTCAGAGCTTCAAGCGTGTCCACCCCCAGGCGGTACACACTGCGCCCATAAGGTGTGAATATACCCATCCCCTTTCCCCCGCTCCCACCTGCCCGACACCCGATGAATGTTACTACTATATGTGCACTTAAGTGTTGGTCAGTTAAGTCAGTTAATACCAATTTGATGCTGAGTACATATGGTGCCTGTTTTTCCATTCTTGTGATACTTCACTTAGAACTGGGCATCTACCCAAAGAAACAAAAGACATTCTATAAAAAAGACATCTGCCCTAGAATGTTTATAGCAGTACAATTCACAATTGCAAAGATGTGGAAACAATCCAAGTGCCCATCAATACATGAATGGATTAATAATGTGGTATATGTATACCACCGAGTTCTACTCAGCCACAAAAACAATGGTAATCTAGCACCTCTTGTGTTATCCTGGATAGAGCTGGAACCCATTCTACTAGTGAAGTACCCCAAGAATGGAAAAACAAGCACCACATGTACTCATCATCAAATTGGTTTTAACTGATCAACACTTAAGTGCATGTATAGTAATAACATTCATCAGGTGTTGGGCAGATGGGAGGGGGAGGAGAGGATGAGTATATACACACTTAATGGGTGCAATGTGCACCGTCTGGGGGATGGACATGCATGAAGCTCTGACTTGGGTAGGGCAAGGGCAATATATGTAACCTAAACATTGGTATCCCCATAATATGTGGAAATAAAAAATAAAAAAATAAATGACAAATGTAAGTTTCAAATCAAGGCAGCCTAATTCAAAGTCCATAGAGTTAATTACTATAAAACATGACTTCACAAGAAATACACCAATGTAAGTATAATGTATTTTGGGAATAGTATTCCAGCTTGGCAGATAAAGAAGTGCTTTCCTGAGAAATTGAAATATGAGATAGAATAGAGGGATTAATAAGAGTTATGCAAAGGTTTGGCAGATTGAGGTTTGGCAATCTATCCATTGTCCCTAGATGATGAAAACATGGCCTACTCCAAGAACAGAAAGAAGCCTGGTGTACTTGCAGTAGGAATAATTTTTGGCAGCGTAGTGTGGAAAATTATGAGGGTAGAAAATTAGAATAGACCAGATGGTAATCAATTGTCTTTATTTTGTGTAAGGGAGTTTGGACTTTATTATGTGGGTGATGGAGCATCACTGAATGGCTTTCAGCTGTGGAGTTATTTAAGTACATCTTATTTTGGAAAGGTCACTCTGCAGAACATTTTCTTTTTGTTTTTGTCTTGTT